ATCAAAATTCGATCTCCCCGTACCAAAAAGTCGGTTCGGTTCGGTTCGGAGATTTTTATTTTTCGGTTCGGTTCGGTATTCGGGACTATTGGGACGGTTCGGTTCGGTATGGTTTGGTTCGGATCTTCGGAGATTTTTATTTTTTTAAATTATTTTTGAATGACTACCTGGTTATATTTTAAGTTTTATATGCTTTAAAAGAACAAGATTCATCAATAATTCATCATATTGAAGATTTAATTTTGAAATCAATTCTAGAAGTAACTCTAAATTTTAGTTATTTAATTTTTATATCTTTAATAAAACCAACATTCATCAGTACTTCCTCATATCAAAAATTTTATTTTGAAATCAACTTTATAAGTAACTCTAAATTTTAGTTATAATTAATTTTCTGCAAGTAATATTGAAAATTTAAAATTCAAATAAAATATAATATTTTTTTCTTAAAAAATATTATTTAAACTTTCATATTATTTTAAATAATTATTATATAATAAAAAAATTCAATTGTAGATCAAGTATTACTAAGCATGAAATTTAATTGAAGGTTAATATTTATTACTATATTATATAGAATCAAAGTTGACATAAAATATATTAATAACAAATCTAATGTTATAATTCGGTTCTTAATTTCGGTTCTTCGGTTTGGTCCAGTACGTGACGGTTCAGTTCGGTTCTCGGTACGGATATTTGTGAAATCTCCAGAACCGTACCAATTATTTTTTCGGTTATGTTCGGTTCAGAGAAAGTAAAACGGTCAACGGTTATTTTTCGGTTCGGAGTGATTTTGTAACACCCCGCTATGTCATAAATATCAGAGTTAAATTTTCGCAAAATCTTTTATTAAAATTTACTGATTAGTTTGCGAAATCATGTTTCGGAGTGCTGCGATAACGGTAACTTTACCTTGAAAAACCGTTATTTAATTCGTAAGAAAGTTTATCATAATATAAACAATCCGACTAGTAATCGGATCAAAAGGCTAAGTTTGACAAACAGTAAAAGTCAGCGGAAAACGTAGCGTGGCAAAACATTTAAACTGCACTACGGGAGATAGTAACAGCACTGCTATGCCAAATTCAAACATGTAAACAAAATCCTGAACCGCCCGTCAGCTCACTCCTCCGGTCCGACTCTGTGACCTGAAAAACATAGATAACATGGGGCGTGAGCACTAAAGTCCACTGTGCTCCGTAGGAACTCATACTAAAGTAAACAGTGAAAATAATTGCAATATCATGATCCTGGTATATACATAAACATAACATAGCATGATACCGGTAAACCATTGCCATCACATGATCGTTGCCTCATAACCTTTACCTCATCTGCCAGCATGAAAATGACGGACACCATGTGCACACTCTAGTGGGCAGACTAGGCCACTAGAACCCATAATGGACCGGCGATCATTCCAAACAGATACATAACATAACATATACATACCTCAAACATGGTACCGTAATTATAATCAATCTAATACCCAGTCTGCGTCCCCACCTAAACCGTCGATATGAAAATGGTAGGGCAAATAACCGTAGCCTGATCAAACTGTAACATAATATAAACAAATACTAAGTACTATGCTCAGACTATTTAAAATGGCTGTTTAATATGTTAAGATGCTCGACTTGAACTTGACATGATATTTGGACTTAACCAGTATAATCGGAACTGGTTAAAAATCAGAACTGAACTGACATGAATTTACCGGACTGGACCGGACCCGGAATTTAACTGAAAATAGGTCATAAACATGAACCGGATCATTAAACATTAATCCGTGAAGTCAACCGGTCTGAACCGACCGGTCTGGGGTCTTGCCGGACCGCCGGCCTACTGTGGCCGGGCGGTCGGTCGCTGGCTCGGCCAACCGGCCTGCTAAGGCCTCAGGCGCGGGCGCTTGTATGGACTGGCTCAGCCTAGGCACGGTCGGGCCTTGATGAATGTGCACGGGCATAAGCTGGCATGGGCCTGGACATTGTTGGGCTCAACAGGCGTTAGCCTAGCCAGCTAGACGTGACCTGAGAGGCTGGCGTGCGACTGGCGCATCGCGGACATAACGCTGGGCACTGGCGTGCGTATCGCACGCACTGGACAGGGCCATCGGGTGCTTGCTGGGCACAACCAACGATCGACGGAACGCATGACATGATGATTGGCGCTGCCAAGCGTTGTGGGCGCCGGCACTTGCGCGACTGTGCACTGTCGGGCGCTACCGGGCACCGCGACAGGCAATGGCACGTAGATGCGCGAACTGACGCTGGCTAACATGAGTTGGTATTGCACGGGCGCTGCCGAGCAACCTTGACGGTACTGGGCGCTCGTGCGTGCTGTCGGGCACTGCCCAAAGGTCGACTGGCGTGCTGTTGGGCGCACTGGCGTGCTGGGGGAAGTGTCGGCGTGCGCTAGGCACTGGCCGACTGTTGACTGTTGCTGGCAGTATTTGTGCACGATGCCCGCCCGCCCTTGGACTGACTGTCGGTATGCTGTTGCCGCTGTGTTCGGACAGCACGACTACGACCGGCCCTTGTCGGCCGTCCGGCGACATACTCCGACCATTATAACATGAATTAACATAACTTACTATAACTTAACATGACATGAAGAAATACACGCAAATTGCTCAAAGAATCACACATGTAAATTGACACGTCGGATGAGACATGTACGGCCGCGGCGTGCGCTATGTGTGCAGCCCTTGGCTTCAACCCATTTCTTCGGCAATTTGAAAACTTCTCCCGACGATTGCCACATAACTAATCATAATATATCCAACAATGAGTAATAAAACATGATTTGCTCGGGAGTTGCCGAATAAAAACGGATAAAGCTCAAAACAACGTTACATGACATGCTCGTGCAATAACTTGGCTTCTAATGGACCGACCCATATACTATGGACATATTTTACATGAAATAAGTACATGAACGTTAAAAGAGGGTCAAGACGTGATTACCTCTTCAATCGCTCGAAGAAAAATTCCTAAGGCTTGCGATCGTTCAGTAGCTTGTGCGTGTACGTGCGGTACTCTTTTCCCAACTTTGCTTAAGCTTATTTATAGGATAAACTCACTAAAACTCTCTTAATTCTTGTGTGAATATATAACTTAAGTGTAGGATAAAAAAATTATCCAACACTTCGTGTATATATATATATATATATATATATATATATGGAAGGATGAATTTAAGTGAATTTGGGAAGAATTTCTCGGTCCATGAATTCTTCACCATTTGCCGAGCGATTTTGGTGGCTACGTGTCCTACATTTGCTTAGTCACCTAAACATTTGCTTAGTCATGCTTTTCATAAGATGCCACGTGTATTATGAAAAGCACATGAAATTTTTCCAACTTTTTGGCCATTTGGACGAACTAATCCTTCCTTAAGCATGATTAAGACATAATTAGGCTCAAAGATGAACTTAGTCATTTAATTGAACATAGACTAAATTATAATACATGAAATTAGATACTTAAAAATTATTCCGAGTATAGACGTGAATTCGAAAATTAATTCGAGCGTTCTTAACTGGAATAATTAGTCCCGAATGATACTGCTCGATAAAATAAATATTTCAGAACTAAACACATAATTTACATTAATAACATAGTGGGCTATTACAATCTGCCCTCCTTAAAATATTTCCGTCCTCAGAAATACAAAACAGAACATATTTACATAGAACATAAGAAAATATATACATCAAAACTGGAAATCATGAAAACGAGCGCGAATATCAGCCTCCTGCTCCCAAGTGGCACCGTGGCGATCCCACTGAATACGAACGAGGGGAACATCACGTTTCCGGAGCCCACGAACTTGTCGGTCCAGTACAGCTACCGGCCTCTCCTCGTAAGATAAATCTGGCTGAATATGAATATCGGTATGCTGAAGGACATGGTCTGGATCGCACACGTACTTGCGTAACATGGACACATGAAAAACGTTATAAACATTAGACAACTCGGGAGGTAAGGCTAATCGATAAGCAACTTCGCCCACTCGCTCGAGAACTTCGAACGGGCCAATGAATCGAGGATGCAACTTTCCGCTCTTCCCGAATCGAACGATCCCTTGAAATGGACGAACTCTAAGGAAGGCTCGCTCCCCAACCTCAAACTGGATATCTCGTCTATGCTGATCGGCTGATGACTTCTGCCGACTCTGAGCTGTCTCTAACATTTGCCTGATCAACTCCACCTGTTCTGCTGTTTCCTCGATCATCTTCGGACCGAGTACTCGACGCTCACCGACATCGTCCCAATAAAGAGGGGAACGACACTTACGACCGTAAAGTGCCTCGTAAGGAGCCATCTGAATAGAAGGATGATAATTGTTGTTGTAAGCAAACTCAACCAATGGAAATAACGACTCCCACTTAGCACCCCTGTCAACAACCAAGCTCGTAGCATGTCCTCCAATGTCTGAATGGTCCGCTCGGTCTGTCCGTCAGTCTCTGGATGATAGGCTGAACTGAACCTTAATTGCGTGCCCATCGCCTTGTGCAAACTCTCCCAGAATCTGCTGGTGAACCTGGGATCCCGGTCTGACACGATAGTAACGGGCAGTCCGTGGAGTCGAATGATCCCGCGGGTGTAAATCTCAGCCAACTTGTCCAAAGAGATATTCATCGATACTGGTAAAAAATGAGCAACCTTAGTCAACCTGTCCACCACGACCCAAATAGCATCGTGATGTTCAGACGACCTCGATAACTCTGTGACAAAATCCATTGTAACTTCCTCCCACTTCCACTTCGGAATCTCGAGGGGTTGCAGAAAGCCCAAGGGACTCTTGTGTTCTGCTTTGACTTGCTGACAGGTTAAACATTTCCTCACAAAGTCGGCTACGTCCTTCTTCATCCCTCGCCACCAGAACGACTTTTTCAAGTCGTGATACATCTTCGTGCTCCCTGGGTGGGCTAAATAAGGTGTGGTATGAGCTTCGGTCAATATCTCTTTCCGCAACTCCTCGACTTTTGGTACAACAATGCTGCCTCGAAACTCCAAGGCTCCATCAGTGCCTCGGTAGCAACCCTCAACGCCTCCGACACGGACTTTGGCATCAATAGCACGAACAAATTCATCAGAAGCCTGTTCCCGCCGGATCCTTTCCCTCAACGTAGGCTGAACCTGCATAGAACTGACACTCCCCGACATCGCTGTAGGAAGTGCATCAACAACTTGAATCTGCATCCGAGCGAACTCCTGGATAAGATGGTTCTGCTGAGTAACAACATAAGTCAAGTCACCCTTCACCTTACGGCTTAGGGCATCAGCAACGACATTCGCCTTCCCCGGATGGTACTGGATAGTGCAATCATAATCTTTGTCGAGCTCTAACCAACGATGTTGACGCATGTTGAGCTCATTTTGAGTGAAAATATACTGTAAGCTCTTGTGATCAGTGAAAATATCGCATCGACCGCCATATAAATTATGTCGCCAAATCTTGAGGGCATGAACAACTGCGGCTAGCTTCAAGTCGTGCGTAGGATAATTCTGTTCATGGGGCTTTAATTGGCGTGAAGCATACGCAACGACCTGGCCCTCCTGCATGAGTACGCATCCCAAACCCTGTCTTGAAGCATCACTGAAAATGGTGAAACTCCGAGAAGGATTGGGAATAGTCAACACCGGTGCTGTGGTAAGCCTCTTCTTGAGCTCCTGAAAGCTCGATTCACATCGATCAGTCCACTCGAATTTCACAGATTTCCTCGTAAGCTGGTATAAAGGTAGGGCAATCTTGAAAAATCCCTCGATAAACATGCGATAATAGCCAGCCAAACCAAGAAAACTGCGAACCTCGGATGGACTCTTCGGTGTCGAACAGTTCTGAACAGCGGCAACTTTGGATGGATCCATCTCGATACCTGCCTGAGTGATAACATGGCCAAGAAAGGCAACTCGTTGAAGCCAGAATTCGCATTTTGGAGAATTTAGCATATAACTTTTCACGTCTAAGGGTTTCAAGAACAACCCTCAGATGATCCTCGTGTTCTTTCTGGCTCTTGGAGTAGATTAGAATATCATCAATGAAAAAAATAACAAACTGATCAAGATAAGGATAGAAGATACGGTTCATCAGGTCCATAAATATTGCTGGTGCGTTACTGAGGCCAAATGGCATGACTACGAACTCGTAATGAACGTACCGGGTACGAAAAGTGGTCTTTGCAATATCAGACTCTTTGATCTTCAGCTGATGGTAACCTGATCGTAAATCAATCTTGGAGAACACACAGGATCCCCTCAGCTGATCGAACAAGTCATTGATTCTGGGAAGCAGATATTTATTCTTGATAGTCAACCGATTGAGATCCCGGTAATCGATACACATGCGCATAGAACCGTCCTTCTTTTTTACGAAAAGAACGGGTGCTCCCCATGGTGAAACACTCGGTCGGATGAAACCGAGTTTCAATAACCCCTGAATTTGGGTCTTTAATTCTTGCAATTCTTTCAGCGCCATTCGATAAAGGGATTTGGAAACTGGGCCGGCTCCTGGAATAAGATCAATAGAGAACTCGACCTGCCGGTTAGGTGGTCCTCCTGGAAGTTGGTCCGAAAACACATCCACAAACTCACGAACAACAGGAACGTCGTGACGTGTCCGTGCTTTCGGTCTATCCTCGACAAGGCTCACAAGATAACCCTGACAATCCCCTCGTTGCAACATCTTTTTGGCTTTCGCCATGAAGATAACATGAGGTAAAGAACAAGTCTTGGTGCCAAAGAAAGTAATATGATCGTCTTCCAGAAGATAAAGAGTAATCTCCCGGTCATGGCATCGAATATCTGCATGAAAATGTGTTAGCCAATCCATACCGAGAATGAGGTCAAAGATCTCGAGAACATAAGCGTCGGTAGACAAGATACGACCACCGATAGAAAGGCTGAGATCAGTAGCTTTGGCATCGGTCACTATCTTTCGTCCCAAGGCTAAACTCACATCGAGAGGATCGATAACAGTAATAGAATGTACTCCAATGGCATCAAGACATCGTCGCGATATAAAAGAGTGGGTTTCTCCAGTATCAAATAAAGTGAAGACAGGAAAATCTTTAAGCATAATCATCCCAGACGTAGTACCTGGGTGTTGCTCGCCTTGACCTGATCAACTGCATAAACATGAGCCTGCTGTATGTCCCTCTGCTGCTGCTGGGGTGGCCTCGGGGCCTGTTGTCTGGGCTGCTGCTGCTGCTGTGGCTGTTGTGGTGGCTGCTGTCATTGCTGCGGTCGCTCTGGGAAGTTGTTGACAAAATGTCCGGGCTGATGGCAATAATTGCAAATGTCCTGGCCGAAATGACACTCTCCACGATGGGGTCGTCCATAGGTAGTGCATGGTGGAATCTGCTGTGGCATGGCTGCTCCTGGTTGTCTCGGACGGTCCCTCCTGTCATTCTAAAAACCTTTCCCCTTCCTCTTCTTGTCCTTCGATTGTTGGGCAGCAGCTGGTGGAACTGGTAGGGCTGAGGATGATTTGGCAGGGGCAGATGGCTGAAGACGATCATGGTTGGCTTCCCTCCGGATGCTGGCGTCAATCTCCTGAGCTATGGTAACTGCACGGGCATAAGTCTGGACGCCGTGACCTACAATGTTATGACGGACTGCTGGCAAAAGCCCGTCAGTGAAACGTCTCGATATCTTTGCCTCTGTGCTCACCAGATCGGGAACAAAAGCTCCAAGTTGAGTGAACTCTCGCTCGTACTCGTCCACTATATGCGTACTTTGTTGGAGTGACAGAAACTGACGCTCTATTTCGGCTCGATAGTACGCGGGGTAATATTTCTCGCGAATTAACTCCTTGAACCTGTCCCACGTACATCCTTCCTTTTCACCTGGATGCATTCCCCAGTAGGCGTTTCACCAGAGACGTGCGTCACCCGTCAATTGGATCTGTGCGCATAGAACGCGATAACGCTCAGGACAGTCCATGACCTCGAAAATCATTTCAAGGCCTTGGACCCATTCTTCAACGACTCGAGGATCTCCCTGGCCGGAGAATTTCTCGGGTTGATAGTCGCGAAACTGAGCGACTAAAGTGGTCTGGGGGACCGCCGGATGATCTGGCTCCCTACGTGGCGGCATCTGAATATTGGAAACGTTCAACATTATCAGACACAACGAAAATACATTAACTGATTAATAAAGCGCACAAATCTCTTTACGAGTTGCTTAACATGGCCTGGAATTATTGAATCATGAACATACTGAACTATGAATCCTGAACATGACTCGAGCATCTTAACTAAGTCATAACTGTGAATTATTCTGAGCATAAACCTAGTCATTTGTTTATTATTTAAAACTTGAATCAGCACTTACCTGTAGTCGGCGAGGCGTGAACGTGACGCGGTCAGTTTTTTATAAAAGTTTCTGACTCGTAAAAGTTTTTAGAGACGCAGAAACGTGCTCTGATACCAACTGTAACACCACGCTATGTTAAATTTTCGGAAAACCATTTATTAAAATTTACTGATTAGTTTGCGAAATCATGTTTCGGAGTGCTACCATAACGATAACTTTACCTTGAAAAACAGTTAATTCTTAAGAAAACAGTTTATCATAATATAAACAATCCGACTAGTAATCGGATCAAAAGGCTAAGTTTAACAAACAGTAAAAGTCAGCGAAAAACGTAGCGTGGCAAAACATTTAAACTCCACTACGGGAGATAGTAACAGCATTGCTATGATAAATTCAAACATGTAAACAAAATCCTAAACCGCCCGTCAGCTCACTCCTCCGGTCCGACTCTGTGACCTGGAAAACATAGATAACATGGGGCGTGAGCACTAAAGTCCACTGTGCTGCGTAGGAACTCATACTAAAATAAACAGTGAAAATAATTGCAATATCATGATCCTGATATATACATAAACATAACATAGCATGATACCGGTAAAACATTGCCATCACATGACCGTTGCCTCATAACCGTTACCTCATCTGCCATCTTGAAAATGTCGGACACCATGTGCACACTCTAGTGGGTAGACTAGGCCACTATAACGTAGAATGGACCGACGACCATTCCAAGCGGATACATAACATAACATGATACATATCTCAAACATAGTACCGTAATTATAATCAATGTAATACCCAGTCTGAGTCCCCACCTGAACCGTCGATATGAAAATGGTAGTGCTGATAACAGTAGCCTGATCGAACTGTAACATAATATAAACAAATACTAAGTACTATGCTCAGACTGATTAAAATAGCTGTTTAATATGTTAAGATGCTCGACTTGAACTTGACATGATATTTGGACTTAACCAGTATAATTGGAACCGGTTAAAAATCAGAACTGAACTGACATGAATTTACCGGACTGGACCGGACCTGGAATTTAACTGAAAATTTGTCATAAACATGAACCAGATCATTAAACATTAATCCGTAAAGTCAACCGGTCTGAACAGGCCGATCTGGGGTCTGACCGGACTGCCGACCTGCTGTGGTCGGGCGGTCGGTCGCTGGCTCGGCCAACCGGCCTGCTAAGGCCTCGGGCACGGGCGCTTGTATGGACAGGCTCGGCCTAGGCACGGTTGGGCCTTGCTGAATGTGCACGGGCATGGACTGGCATGGGCCTGGACATTGTTGGGCTCAACAGGCGTTAGTCTGAGCCAGCTAGACGTGATCTGGGAGGCTGGCGTGCGACTGGTGCATCGCAGACATGACGCTGGGCACTCGCGTGCGTATCGCGCGCACTAGATAGGGCCATTGGGTGCTTGCTGCGCACAACCAACGATCGACGGAACGCATGACATGATGACTGGCGCTACCGGGCGCTGTGGGCGCCGGAACTTGCGCGACTGTGCACTGTCGGGCGCCTACCGGGTACTGCGACAGGCAACGGCACGTAGATGCACGGACTGACGCTGGCTAACATGAGTTGGTATCGCACGGGCGCTGCCGAGCAACCCTGACGGTACTGGGCGCTCGATCGTGCTGTCGGGCACTGCCCAAGGCCGACTGGCGTGCTGCTAGGCGCAATGGCATGCGCGGGGAAGTGTCTGCGTGCGCTAGGCACTGGCTGACTGTTGACTGCTGCGGGCAGTAGTTGTGCACGATGCCCGCCCGCCCTTGGACTGACTGCCGGTATGCTGTTGCCGCTGTGTGCGGACAACACGACTACGAGCGGCCCTTGCCGGCTGTCCGGCGACATACTCTGACCATTATAAAATGAATTGACATAACTTACTATAACTTAACATGACATGAAGAAATACACGCAAATTGCTCAAAGAATCACACATGTAAATTGATACGTCCGATGAGACATGCACAGCCGCGGCGTGCGCTATGTGCGCAGCCCTTGGCTTCGACCCATTTCATCGGCAATCCGACAACTTCTCCCGAAAATTGCCACATAACTGATCATAACATATCCAACCATGAGTAATAAAACATGATTTGCTCGGGAGTTGCCGAATAAAAACGGACATAGCTCAAAACGACGTTACATGACATGCTCGTGCAATAACTTGGCTTCTAATGGACCGACCCTTATACTATGGACATATTTTACATCAAATAAGTACATGAACGTTAAAAGAGGGTCAAGACGTGATTACCTCTTCAATCGCTCGAAGAAAAATTCCTAAGGCTTGCGATCGTTCAGTAGCTTGTGCGTGTACGTGCGGTACTCTTTTCCCAACTTCGCTTAAGCTTATTTATAGGATAAACTCACTAAAACTCTCTTAATTCTTGTGTAAATATATAACATAAGTGTAGGATAAAAAATTTACCCAACACTTCGTGTGTGTGTGTGTATATATATATATATATATATATATATATATATATATATATATATATATATATTTAAGTGAATTTG